AGCCATTCCCTAGGACAGGTGTCCCCACACCTGGTGTCCCCACGGCCGGTGTCCCCCTCATGCCGTGTGCCGGCCCTGGCGCCGCTTGATCTTCCTCTTGAGGAGCAGGAGGTCCAGGTAGAGCAGGCGGCCCAGGACAGCCGAGGCGCAGAGCAGCCCCCCATGCACAGCCCCTGCCAGCCCGCAGGAGAACACGTCCTGCCCTGGGGACAGGCCACCGTGGGACACGGCCACCCCTGGGGGGGACATGGCCACCACCAGGGAGGACATGGCCACCCCCAAGGAGAACACGGCCACCACTTGGGGACAGGGTCACCACCATGGGGGACATGGACACCCCCAGGGGAACACAGCCACCTCCATGGGTGGCACAGCCACCCTTGGGGACCCAGTCACCACCCTGGGGGACATGGACACCCCCAGGGAGGACCTGGCCACCATCATGGGGGGGGGGCCCATCTGGTCATCCTTATGGAGGACACAGCCACACCCAGGGGGCACATGGTCACCCCCGCGGGGGACCCAGCTACCACTCTTGGGGATGTGGCCACCACAATGCAGACCCAGCCACTCCTGCGGGGAACCCAGCCACCATCATGGGGGGCGTAGCCAACTCTGGGGGGGACATCGAAGCCCTCATGGGTGACCAAGTCACCACCGTGGGTGACACAGCCACCCCTGGACAAAACAGCTACCCCTTGGGGACCTGGCCACCATCGTGGGGGACTTGGCCACCACCACAGGGGACATGGACACTCACAGGGAGGACCTGGCCACCACCACGGAGGACATGGACACTCTCAGGGGGAACAGAGCCATGCCTTGGGGACTTGGCCACCACCATGGTGCATCCAGACACCCCTCATGGCAGGGAGCCCCTGGGGACACATCCACAGCCTGGAGCTGGTCATGGGGACAGCAAGACAGGGGGACATGGCAACACTCCTCCCTCACCTGTCAGGTAGAGGTTCCTCACGGGGGTGTCGGCTCTCAGGGTGGCCATCACAGCGGGGCAGAAGCGGCCCAGGTCGTGCTCGGCGCCATACATCGCCCCGTGCGGGGCCGCCAGGTAGTGCTGGTTGGTAAGCGGTGATGCTGCCTCCATGAACTCCACCTGCCCAGGCACAGGGTGCTCGGGATGTGCCAGGGGACACCAGGCATGGGGGGCATGGATAGGCCCATCCCACCCCACAGCAGGTCCCACCACAACAGGTCCCGTGGGGAGGTGCTGGGGCTGTGGAGCTGCATCACAGGGCACCCCGTCCTCGCTGGGCACCCCAAACCCACAGGCACTCTGTCCTGTTGGGCACATTCCCTTCAGGTATCCCAGCTCCAAAGGGTACCCTGTCATCACCAAGCACATCTCTGCAGGGCGTGCTGCTCCCACAGGGCACTCCATCCTGCCTGGGCACCCATCCCATAGGGCACTCATCACACAGGTCATCTTATCCTACCCGAGCACCCAATCTCCACTCTGCACCCATACCCATGGGGTACCCCACCCCTGTGGGACACCTCAACCCGCCTCACAGACCACCCCATTCCCGTGGGGTGTCCCACCCACACAGGACACCCTATTCCCCACTGAACATGCCATTTCCACTGTGCATCTATCCCTGCAAGGTACCCAAACCCCATGGGGTGTCCCACCCACACACGGCATCTTATTCCCCACTGGGCACCCCAAACATGCAGGACACCCAGTCCCCACTGTGCACCCCATTTCCACTGTGTTTGCCCATCCCTGTGGGACACCCCAAATCTCAAGGGACACCCCAAATCTCAAGGGGCACCCCAACCTCATGGGGCACCCCAACTCCACAGCACATCAGGATGCTGCATCCCTACACTCCCTCCCCTCTCTGGAAATCACTCTGTGCCCATCGTGCCTCCTCCCCTCTGGGCACCCCCAGGCGTGGCAGGGCTCCCCGTGGGGTCACCTTGTCCCTCAGGTGTGGAAAGCGGAGCAGGGCCCTCTCCAGCAGCCGCTGGGCAATGGACATCTTGTACTGCTGGTAGTCGGAGCTGCGGTGCCTGGGGAGGCTCCCGGCCCACTCCTCGAACCACTCGTACCGTGCCATGGTCAGGATGGTCATGCAAGACTGGCCTGGGAGGGGGACACAGCTGGTGACACCCCCTGTGCCACCACAGGACCACAGTGGGGGTGCCAGCCAGAGACATGGCGACAGTGGTGGTGCCCACCTCGTGCTGGTGGCACTGAGGAGCCTCTGACCCCTCGAAGCTGAGCGGATCAGGGGTGCAGAGCTGGGGGGGCCTTAGGGGTCCCCAGTGCTGTACCTGGGTGCCGCTGCTCGTAGGTGGGGTCCTTGGCAGCGGGGAAGGTGATGAACATCATGGCCAGGTTTTCGGGGACATCGTCACGGCTCAGGGCAGCGTATTGGGTCATCCTGCGGGCAGAGAGGGTTGTGATGTACCCACCGTGCACCCCCTGTGCACCCACCCACCCACCCACCCTGTACCCACCATGCACCCCCCGTGTGCCCACCCACTCATCATATATCTACCCACCCACCATGCACTCCCTGGGCACCCACTCACAGTGCAGGCTCCACACATCCCCCATGCACCCACCCCACTCACCACGCACAACCCTGTACCCACCCCATCCACTGTGCTCCCCCAGGCACCCCTCATGCACCCACCCTGCGTGTGCCCACCCACCCGCCGTGCCCCCCCCCGCCCCCTGTGCCCACACCAGGGTGCCAGGACCCCTCACATGGTGTCCAGGTCGTTGTGGGGGTAGATCCAGAAGTTGGTGGGGGGCAGGCCCAGTTCGGCTGCGCTGCCCCGCAGCCCCACGAACACCAGGAAGGAGCCCATGCTCGGCCGCACCATGGCCAGGCGGGATTGGACACCTGCGGGGACACGGGGGTGAGACCCCGACCCTGCCTGTACAGGGGATATGGGGGTGACACCCCGACCCTGCCTGTACAGGGGATATGGGGGTGACACCCCAGCCCTGCCTGCACGAAGGACATGAGACTGCTGGGAACATGAAGGTTCTGGGGATGCCAGGGACACTCGGGACATACAGACACAGGGATGCTGAGGACAACAGGGGTGCTGGGTTCTCTGAGGACACTAGGGGCATGGAGATGCTGGGAATGTGGGCATGCTGGGAACACTAGGGATACTGGGAACACTAGGGATGCTGGGGACACTGAGGACACTAGGGACATGGGGATGCAAGTATGCTGAGGACATCAGGTGTGCTAAGGATGCTGGAGATGCTGAGGACAGTGGTGATGCCAGCGACACCAAGGACACCAGGGATGTTGAGCAACCCTGGTGATACCGGTAATGCTGGGGACACTGGTGATTCTGGGGACACTGGGGACACCAGGGACATGGAGATGCTGGGGACATGGGAACACAGGGATGCTGGGGACACTGGTGGTGCTGGGGACACAGGGATGCTGCAGACACAGGGATCCTGGGAACACTGAGGACATCAGGGACATGGGGACACAGGGTCACGTTACCGGGGTGGCTGCGGATCTGGGGGGGCAGCAGTTTGCCGAAGGTGTTGAAGATTCCAGCATCGGAGATGACAAGGGGCACACGGATCTCCAGCTCCTCCTTATTGGACCCCACCTGCACCGCCACCCCTGGGGGCCAGGATGGGGGGTCAGGGGACACGGGGCACTGCCACCCCGTCCCCATCACACACATGTGACACCCCCCCGGGGCGGGACTGGGGGTCGGGCGCTCACCCAGGGCGGTGCCGGCGGAGCTGACGAGGATGCGCGTGACGGGGGCACGCACCAGCACGGCCCCCCCCGCGCGCTCGATGACGGGCACGGCGTGGAAGGCGATCTCGCTGGCCCCCCCCCCGCGGGTACCAGGCCCCCCGCTGGTAGTGGTGAACCATCAGCACGTTGGCCAGGAAGCTGGAGTCCCGCGGGGCCGTTCCTGTGGAGGGGGCAAGGGGGAGGTGGGCACGGCTGGACCCTGCCCCAGTGCAGGGCAGCCCTCCCGTATCGTGACATGCTCTCCCCTGTCGTGACGCGACCCTCCTCACCACTATGTAGCCCTCCCCTCTCATGATACAACCCTCCACTATTGCAACATAGCCTCCTCTGTTGTGATATGCCCTTCCCTATCATGACAAAGTTCTTCTCATCACAATACAGCCCTCTTCTATCATGATACAGCCCTCCCCTATCAAGACACTGCCTCCCCTATCGTGACACAGCCCTTCCCATCATGATACAGCCCTTCCCTATCATGACAAGGCCCTCCTCACCACAATATATCCCTCCCCTATCACAACACAGCCCTCTCCTAGCAAAAAGTGGCCCTCCCGTATCACGACAGAGCATGCCCCTATCACGATGCTGCCCTCCCCTATCATGACACAGCCCTCCCCTATATGACACTACTGTCTTTCTCCACGACGGTGCTCTCCCTATCGCGACAGACCCCTCTCTATCGCAACAGCTCCTGACCGTAGAAGAGGTAGCCGAGCAGGGCGCGCAGGTCGGGGTCAGAGGTGAGCTGGGCCACAGCCTGGCTGTGGCTGGTGGTGGCCAGGCGGAACACGGGGGACAGGAGGGACAGGAGGCTGGAGCGGAGTAGGAGGGTGGCCACCCAGTGCGGGACCAGCTTCAGCACGGCCAGCAGTGCCACGTGCCGCGAGGCCACCTGGGGGACATCATGCCATGTCACTGTCACCACTGACACCATCCCACCCTGCCACCACCACCAGCGTGGGGCCAGCTTCAGCACAGCCAGCAGTGCCTCATGCCCGTGTGGGGTCAGCTTCGGGATGGCCAGCAGTGCCACATGCCACCTGGGGGACGTTCTGCCACTTCACTGGCGCCACTGACACCACACCACCCTGCCACCACCACCAGCATGGGATCAGCTTCAGCACGGCCAGCAGTACCATATGCTGTCAGACCACCTGTGTGACACTGACCTTGTCACCACTGACATCATCCCAAACCACCACTGCCACTGCCACCGCCACCACCCATGTCACCACTGCCTCCGCAAGACCGGATTCGGCACCGCCAGCAGTGCCACATGCCCAAGGCCATGCGCGGGACACCAAGCTAGGCCACTGTCACCACCAACATCTCCTTGCCTGGCCACCACTGTGTCATCAGGACTGTCACTGCCATGACCCCATGAGCACCACCTGTGGCTCAACACCCATACCCACCATGCCTAATGCCCGTGTCCTCACTATGCCCAGGCCTTCCCCCCACCATGCCCAGCACCCGTGTCCCCAGCATGCCCACTACTTGTGTCCCCTCCACACCCATCACTTGTGTCCCCTCTGCACCCACCATCCATGTCCCCACCATGCCCATCACCTGTGTCTCCTCCATGCCCACCACTCTTGTACCCATCATTCCCATCACTTCTGTCCCCTCCACACCCATTACCAGTGTCCCCACCATTCCCATTGCCCCTTCCCCACCATCACCCATGTCCCCACAGAACCCACCAGTGCCACCACCACACCCACGCCCATATTCCAGGCTGATCATTCCCAGCTAGAGTGACCCCATCATCCCTCCCTGACCCTGTGGTCACCTCCCCATGGGGGTGGTGTGTCCCCACCTTGGAGATCTTCATGAACTCCCTGATGGCCGCCTTCTCCGTGGGGAACTGCTCCTCCAGTGCGGTGACAAAGGCCACCTTGCCGGCGTGCAGCTGGTAGCGCCGGGGTCCCAGGGTCACCTCGTCGTAGGGGTCGGGCAGGCGCTGCCAGCAGAGCTGCCCGTCCGTCATCTGGTCCAGTGCCACACGCAGGAGGCTGCCCTCGTGCAGCTGCCCCACGTAGTGGATGCCTGTGGGACAGGGACAGGGCACATGGCAGGGGGAAACCAGGGGGGGTCACATGGACGTGTGGTGGGAGCACCCAGGGGGCAATGGGGGAGAGAAGGGCTTGGCTTTCGCCTGTTGTGGGTCACACTGAGGGTGGGGGGTGGGATGGGCTGCTGGCATGGCATGGATATGGCATGGATATGGCATGGATGTGGCACAGACATGGCATGGACACAGTATGGTTATGGAATACACATGGCACAGATATGACAAGCTCATGACATGGACATGGCATGGGCACACCATGGACATGGCACAAACACAGCATGGTTATGGAACACACATGGCACGGACATGACAAGCACATGGCATGGATACAGCACAGACACAGCGTGGACATGGCATGGACATGGCATGAACACAGCATGGTTATGGAACACATATGGCACAGACATAGCAAGCACATGGCACGGACATGGCTCAGACACAGCATTGACATGGCATGTGCATGGCACAGGCACAGAAAGCACATGGCACGTACACAGAGCACACATGACATGCACATGGCATGGGCACGGCACGGGCACGGCATGGACATGGCACACAGATGCCATCGACACAGCACACATGCAGAGCACACACACTACGTGCCAACAGCACGTGTGTTGTATGCAGACAGTGCACACACACACTGCACACACACCCGCACACACCCCTGCACACTCAAGCACACACACAGGCACTGTGGGGGCAGCAGCGGTGCCAGGGGATGCTGGGGGCTTGGGGAGTGTCAGGGGGTTTTGGAGGTCCTTACCAACGTCAAACTCGATGCCATGCTGCTGGAAGGTGTGGCAGCACCCGCCGGCCTTGTCGTGTTGCTCCAGCACCAGCACCCGCCGGCCTGCCTTGGCCAGGGTGGTGGCCACTGCCAGCCCCCCTGCGCCACTGCCGATGACCACGGCATCCAGCTGCTCCGGCACCCGCTGGGGGCTGAACCCTGGGCACAGGTGGGGGATTAACCACTGCCCATGGCCACCACTGAGCACTGAACCCTGCATACATGTGTGGGATTAACCACTGCCCATGGCCACCACTGGGCACTGAACCTGGGCACACACATGTGGGATTAATGACTACCCATGGCCACTATGTTCAGCCGCTCTGGCACCTGCTGGGTGCTGAACCCTGGGCACACACGTGTGATCAGCCCCTGCCCGTGATCACCACCAGACACCCTGAACCCTGTGCAGGCACAGTGCACCTGACAGTGTGCTCAGATCCCACAGTGACCCTGCAGTGCCCATGTCCAGCCACTCCGGCACCCACAGGACACCGGAGCCCTGCACACATGATCAATCACTGCCCACGGGAACCCCATCCAGCCTCTTTGGCACCTGCCGGGTGCTGAACCCTGGGCACAAGCGTATGATCAGCCCCTGCCTGTGGCCACCACTGGGCACTGAACCCTGTGCACACACACCTGCTCAGCCTCTGCCCACGATCCCCACTGGGCACTGAGCCCTGTGCACATGCTCAGCCCCTGCCAGTGGCCATCCCTGGGCACCCTGTGCACACGCGTGTGCTCAGCCACGCTGTCACAAGCAAGAGGCAACATGAGGGCACACAATGGGCAGCACGCCCAGCATTCCACAGGACAGATGGACACACAGACAGACAGGTACCCGACGGACACTCAGCACTCACCCCGCTTCAGCACCCTGTCCCGGGCGCGTTGGTCTGTCACCAGTGGCCTGGGGGGCTCCAGGGGTGGCCCGGCAAAGGGGTTGCCGGACGGGGCCAGCAGCTTGTGGGCCACTCGCCCCAGAGCCAGCACACCCAGGGCTACCAGCAGCAGCAGCGTGGGCCACATGGCTGTCACCACAGGTGGGATGGACAGGTACCAACACGGTAAGGACACACTAAAGCCCCGCACGTTTGGCCCCGACACTTATAGACACAGCAGCTTATGGACAAAGGGGATTATGGACAGGCTTACAGACACCCCTGCTTAAAGACACCGGAGCTCATGGACACACCCCCTATGGAAAGGGCATTTTATAGCCACGGCAACCTATGGTAACCTATGGCCACAGCTCCCTGTGGGACCCTATGGCACCCTATGGTCACAGCTCCCTTGGCCATGGCATCCTATGGCTCCCTATGGCTCCCTATGGGACACTATGGCACCCCAGGATGCCCCATGGCACCCTGTGGCACTCTGTGGCACCCCATGACAATGACACCCTATGGCACCCTGTGGCACCCCATGATGCCCTACGGCTCCTTATGTGACCCCGTGGTCATGGCACTCCATGTCAGTCTGTGGCACCCTATGGTTCCTTATGTCACCCCATGGCACGCAGTGGCTCCCCGTGGGAGGTGCACACGCCTGTGCATGGAGCACAGGCGTGTGGGGCACTGGTGTGTTGGGCACTGCACACACACACACGTGTGCACACAGGCAGCTGTGCACACGCGTGAACACCCACACTTGTGCAAGGGAACACACACCCCCTCCACACCTGTGAGAGCAATGGGTACACACACATGGGAGGCACACACACACACGTCTGTGCAAACACACGTGCACACACACACACGCGGGTTGACACACTCAGACACACACACACACATACATCTGTGCAAACACACACATGTGCACCCATGCACACACTGACCCTGTGCAAACACACATGTGCACACACCCCCTGTGAAAACACACACGTTTGTGCACACACAAGTGCACCCATGCACACACTCACTCCTGTACACACACATGCACACACACCCTGTGCAAACACACACGTGCACACAGACATGTACGTGCACACACATGTACACCTGTGCACACACTCACTCCTGTGCAAACACACACATGCACACACACATACATCTATGCAAACACACACGCACAGCCACACACAATCCCCCACACTCCCCTTTCCCCTCCCCCTGTGCCTGCAGCTCTGCTGACCTCTCCCGGCAGCACCAAGGAAGGGCCTGTCTGTGCACCGTGACACACGCACACGTGTGCACACCCATGTGCACCCTATGTATACCCCATCCCAATGCCCCCCACATTCACCACGAGGGACAAACCCACCATTTTTCTCTCCTTTAATAAAATCCACAGCAGAGTACCAAAAGGGAGCAAGGGGGGACAGGGAGGGGCCGGGGAGGTGAGGTGGGGGACATGGGGCAGGAGGGACATGGGGGCACACCCTGCACTACTCGTGTTCCTGTCCCTTGGGGTCACCCCATATGTCATCACCCCCAGTCCAGACACCCCCGGCGAGCCCCGAGCCACAGCCCCCCACGGGGTTAATTACAGGGTTAATTAAGAATTATTACAGGGAGGAACCCGAGCGGGGAGGGGGGAAGGAGGGGTTATTGCTACCTGGGGAGCAGGAGGGGGGCCACAAAGGACAGCGAGGGACCCCCCACCCCGGTAAAGGGAAAAGGGGGCCCCGTGGGGGGGTTGTGGCCTGGGGGGGTGGAGGGGTGGGCCAGGACACTTGGGGCCACAGCAGCTTCTAAGGCTCCAGCTGGGTGTAACCCCCCCCCCCAAAACCCCATAGCCCCCCCGACCCCAATCCTGGGGGACAGGGTGGGCTTCCTCATGGGGAAACTGAGGCAGGGGGCTATGAAGAGTGGGGGGGACCCCTGTCCTCCCCATGTCCCCCATCTGAGAAGTGGCACAACCCCCTGGGGTAATTTGGGGAGGGGGGTGAGGTTTTGGCAGTGAATTAGCTGTGTGGGTGCTGGGCACAGTGGGGGGGGGGGCTGTGCCCCCCCATGTGGCCCCCAGTGGCTGATTCTGCCTCCCCCCCCCCAAATCTGAGGCTGGGTAGGGGGGAGAGAAGAGTCAGGTTTGGGTTGGGGGGCTCCACAGAGAGCCACACACACACCCCCATGGTGCTGAGCACAAGCTCATCACACCAGTGGGTGAGGTATAACCCCCCTCCACCCCCCCACAGCCCTCCTGGGTGGGCTGGGGGGTTGAGGGGAGGGTTTTATGGCCCCCCCTGCAGGGTGGGGTGGTCACTAGTAGACCCAGGTGACAGGCACCCACTGGGGCTGGACACGCAGGTGGTCCATGGCCTCCCGGAGCCTCCCGAAGGTTCGCTCCAGGTCGTCGTTGATGAGGCTCAGGTCAAAGTAGTGCCCGTACCCCCGCTGGATCCGGCTGCTCTCCTCCACCGTCCGCTGGGCATCTGCCTCCTGCACCCCACAACTGCCTCAGGATCCCCACCGCCCCACAGGCATGGCAGAGGAGCACCCTCTGTCCTACTCCTCCCCCAGCAACCCTGCCTCAGTTTCCCCATTGCCCCCCAGTATTGCAGAGGAACACCCACCATCTGCCTTCAGCCCCCCAATCCTGCCTCAGTTTCCCCGTTGCCCTCCAAGGTGGCAGGGGGGACACCCATCGTGAGCTGTATGTTCTTCCTCTGCCCCCACAGCCCTGCCTCAGTTTCCCCATCACCCCCCAGGATGGCAGGGTGACACCCACCATCGACTGCCCACCCACCTCCTGCACCCTAAACCTGCTTCAGTTTCCCCAACAACCCCCAAGGTGGCAGAGGGACACCAACCATGAGCTGTGTGTCCTCCTCCTGCCCCAAAAACCATGCCCTGTTTCCCCATCACCCCTCCATGCCCCCTGGGTAGAGGGAGGACACCCACCATCCACCTCCTGCCCCCCAGACTCTGCCTCAGTTTCCCCATCACCCCTCTGTGACAGATGGGGACACCCACCATGAGCTGTGTCTCCTCTTTGCGCCCCCCAAACCCTGCCTCAGTTTTTCCACTGCCCTCCAGGGTGGCAGAGGGATGCCTGGGCATCTGCCTCCAGCACCCTAAACCTGCCTCAGTTTCCCCATCACCCCCAGGATGGCAGTGGGACACCCACCATCTGCTGCCCACCCACCTCCTGCCCCCACAGACCTGCCTCAGTTTCCCCAAGACCCTGTGTGCCCCCCTGGGGACAGAGAGCGACACCAATCATGAGCTGTGTGTCTTCCTCCTGCCACACAAACCCTGCTTTGGTTTCCCCACTGCCCCCCAGGGATGGCAGAGGAACGCCCACCATCCACCTTCAGCCCCCCAAACTCTACTTCAGTTTCCCCTTTGCCCCCCAGGGTGGCAGGGGGACACTCACCATCTGCCTTCAGCCCCCCACAGCCCTGCCTCAGTTTCACCTTCCCTCAGTTTGCCCCCCAGGCCCCCAGGACACCCACCGTGAGCTGTTTGGTGGCCACACCACTCTCCAGGGCCGCTCGGTTCATGGCCCGCAGGGTCTCGGGGCAGGGGGCTTCGATGAACACCACATATGGCACAAACTCAGCTGTTCTCAGCACCTTCACTGCCTGGGTGGGAGGAGACAGAGTCACCAAAATCCCAGGAAATAAACCCTCTAACCCAGTTTGTCAGGTTAGAGGGTTTATTCAACATTGAGGTACATGGGGATGGCTCCACAAAACCTGTACATCAATATTAAAACTTTTAAGTATTTATACATTTTAGCAAACAAAGGAATTAGTGTTCATTGGCTTATGCAGTTCTCTTCATTAATTATTATTCTATCTTCTATTGGTTATTGATTTCTCATTTCTCACACTAATCAGTCCCCACTTTCAGTATTCTATTACTTTTTCCCAGAGAGGGAGAGTCTCTGGGAAATTATCTGTGTTCGTTTCTTCTTCACCTCTTGTTTCTGTGTCTTTGTGGTTTATACAAATTCTGCATTTGATGTCAACACTAAATTTCTCTCCCAGCTCTAAGAGCACTGAGCCATGTCAGGCCCTAAACTTTCAATTTGTTCTTCAAACACACAGGCATCACCCAGAGCTTGCCCATCATCTGTTATCTATTCCATTAATTAAATCTCCCCTCAACAATTCCCCCCCACGGCTGCACAGGCTGTTCTTTTAAGAAATACAACTTGTTGAGCAACAACAGTCATTATCCCTCTCCCCGTGTCCCCTACCTGGGGGTTGACATCCAGGATGCACATCTTGCCAGCCTCCACCACGGCTCGGATGGAGTCGATCCTGGTTCCGTACAGGTTTCCCTCGTACTCGCCGTGCTCCAGGTACCTCCCAGCCTTGATGTCGGCCTCCATCTCCCCCCGGGACACAAAGCGATAGCCCTGCCCATCCCGCTCGCTCTCCTTCGGCTTCCGAGATGTGTCTGCCGGCAGTGGGGACCCACCTGAGTGACACCCACCCACCCGGGGTCTCATCCCCGGGTGCTCATAGGGTGTGGGAATGATCGCAGGGGACAGGGATGTTCAAAAGGGACAGGGATGCTCACAAGGGACAGGGATGGTTTCAGGAGACAGGGATGCTCACAAGGGACAGGGATGCTCACAAGGGATAGGGATGGTTGCAGGAGACAGGGATGTCCCCAGGAGACAGGGATGCTGGTGGGGTCAGGACAGGGATGCCATCAGGGGACAGGGATGGTCATGGAGGACAGGGATGGTCACAAGAGACAGGGATGCTGGAGTGGGACAGGAATGGTTGCAGGGGACAGGGATGCTAGAGGTGGACAGAGATGATCACAAGGGACAGGGATGCTGGAGGGGGACAGGGATGGTTGCAGGGGAAGGGATGTTCATAAGGATGGTGATGCTCATGGGGACTGTGATGCTCATGGGAATGATGCTGCTGGCAGGGAATAGGAATGCTCACAAGGGACAGGAATGGTCGCAGGGGACAGGGATGCTGGAGTGGACAGGAACGGTCCTGAGGGACAGGGATGCTCACAGGGACAGGGATGCTGGAGTGGGATAGGGATGCTCCCAAGGGACAGGGATGGTTGCAGGTGACATCGATGTTGGCAGGAGACAGGGATGGTCGAAGGGGACAGGGATGCTCACAGATGACAGGGATGCTCACAGATGGCAGGGATGCTCCCAAGGGACAGGGATGATCATGAGGATGGTGCTGCTCACAGGGGACAGTGATCTCGTGGGAGTGATGCATGATGCTGCTGGCAGGGGACAGGGAGGCAGGTGAGGGGCGGTGATGCCGGTGGCTCAGCAATGCTCATGGGGACAGCGCTGCCAGTGGGGACAAGGGCCACTCACAGGGGATGGTGGTGCCGTAACGCGCCTGGTCCGACATGATGAGCTTGTTCTTGAGGCTGCGCCGCCCCACGCCCTGCGCCCCGATCAGCACTAGCGTTTTCCGGCGGAACGGTGGCATCCGCGCCACCTCCTCGTAGATCAGCAGCTCATGCCGGTCGAACTCTGGGTGAGGAGCAGGGTTGGCACCCATCCAGGGAGACACCCTGTCCCCAGGAGGTGCCACCACGAGCACAGCCCCGGGGCTGCTCCCCCCTTCCCTGGGGGAACGCCATCAGACACTCACCGGCGTTCTTCGTCGTCAGGTACATCATCCTCTTCTTCCTCCTCCCGCTGAGACTGCCACACAGGGCCCCTGCGAGGGCAAGGGGCCAGCTGAGCTGGGGACACGGACAGGGACAGTGCCGTGGCACAGGGACAGTGTAAGGGGAGTTGGGACATGCCACAGGGGCAGTGCCATCGGGACATCACCCTAAGAACTGGGGACATCACCCCGGGAATTAGGGACTTCCTGCAGTGACAGTGCCATGGGGGCATCACCCTGGGAACTGGGGACATCACCCCATGAACTGGGGACTTGCCACAGGGACAGTGCCATGTGCCACGGAGACATCACCCTGGGAACTGGGGACCTGTCTGAAGGACAGTGCCACAGGGACTTGACCCTGGGAACTGGGGACATCACCCCGGGAATTGGGGACCTGCTGCAGTGACAGTGCCATTGGGACATCTCCCTGGGAACTGAAGATGTCACCCCAGGAACTGGGAACCTGCTGCAGTGACAGTGCCATTGGGACATCTCCTGGGAACTGAAGACGTCACCCCAGGAACTGGGGACCTGCTGCAGTGACAGTGTATGGGGACATCACCCTGGTGCGATGGGGACATTGCCACAGGGTTCAGGGGACCCACTGTGCTCCCCCCAGGATGTGCCCCCCTGTCTCCGACCCCCAGAGCCGTGTCCCCCCCGCTGAGGCTGGGCTTGGGTCCCCATACCCGACGTGGGGGCCACCTCTCCATCCCGCTTGACGAAGGCCTTGCGCTTCTCCTCCAGCAGCTGGCTGGGCACCAGCCCTGCACTGCCCCCCTCCACATGGCACGCCTGGGGGCACAGAGTCACACTTGGGGACCCCCTCAACCCCACGGGGACTCTCCTGAGCTACAGGGCCCCCCTCAGCCCCACAGGGATTCCCCTCAGCTACAGGGACTCACCATTCCCCAGGAACACTCCCCAGCTCCAGGGACTCCCCCAAGCTGCACAGGGAACCTCCCGAGCTCCAGGGACACCCCCAGGCTCCAGGGACTCCCAGCTCCCAGAGACCTCTCAGTCCCTACAGGGACATACACTCAAATCCAAGGACCTCCCCCATCTCCAGGGACCCCCCAAGACCCCCAGGGAACCCCTCCAGCTCCAGGGTCTCCCCCAGTATCCAGGGACCTCCCCAGCTCCAGGAACCCCCTAAGGCCCACTGTGACTCCCTCCCAGTTCTAGGAATGCCCCATTTCTCGGCACCCTCCCCAAATCCAGGAACACCTCCAAGCTCCCAGGAAACCCCTTTTTTTTCCCCAGGGATGCCTCCCAGTTCCCAGGAACCCTTCCCAGCTCCAGGGACGCTCCCAGCTTCACAAAACCCCCACTTTCAGGGATCCTCCCAGGCACCCCTCAAGCCCACAGGGACCCCTTGATCTCCCATAGAACCCCTGACCCCCAACCCCCCCACACCCTCCACAGACCCCGCTGCCAGGGGGACCCCCAGATGGGGATCAAAGCACCACGACCCTCCCAGACCACCCCCCAGGGGGGCCCCCTGACCTGCCACCAGTTGGGGTCATCCTGGTTGACGATCTGCAGCAGATCCCCGGCCATGAACTTGAGCCCGGCCTCCTTGCAGGGGATGAGGCTGTCGGTGGCCGGGTCGTAGTCAAAGTGGCACTTGACAAACACCTGGGGACCGCGGGGGTCAGCTGGGGGGACCCCCAGGACCCCCACTCTGCTGTCCTGTGCCTCAGTTTCCCCAGCAGGGAGACCCCTCTAGGTGCCCCCTGTGCTGCGGTGCCCCCCCCGTGCCCGGTGCAGCCAGGCCCGTGCGGCCCCTGCACACATGCAGAGGGTCCCAGCCGCTGCTGCCGCACCCCACAGGACCCCCACGGCGACCCCCAGGCACAGCCCCACGGCCACACACAGGCACACGCATGTGCCCAGCGCCGCCAGCGCCGCCCCCGCCAGGACACACATGCGTGTACGGGGATGCGTGTGCACACACACGCGTGTGCTGGCACACGGGATACGGCGCTGGCGGCGGAGGGGTGTCGCAGGGGTGGCCCAGGCTGGGACACGTGGTGCCAGGGGGTGTGGTGTGGTGACAGGGTTGTTTTGTCTCCCCACGGAGACAGGGGGTGGCTGGCACGGGGCGGGGAGGGGGGGCGCACAGGGTGGGCACCCTTTGCCACCCAGCACCCTGGGTGGGTACAGGGATGGGAAGAGGGTAGGGACGGGGCAGGGACGGGACAGGGACGGGGCAAGGGCAGGTATAGGGACAGGGATGGGGACAGGACGGGGATGGGGACAGGACAGGACAGGCACAGGGCAAGGACAGAGACAGGCCAGGAATGGGAACAGGGCAAGGACAGGGACTGGTCAGGGATGGGGACAAGAGGGACAGGGCAAGCACGGGGACAGGGCAAGGACGGGGTAGGGCAAGGACGGGGAGAAGGCAGAGATGGGGACAGGGCAGGGACAACCACGGCCTGGCGCCCACCAGTACCAGGCACACAGGGCACGGTGGGGGACACGGGGGTCCCATCAGCCACGGAGCACGTTGGCACAGGGCATGGACAGGGGGACGGGGGGGGGGGGGCTCAGCGGGCACATGGGGAGATGAGGAACATGGCAAGGAGACAGGGGATGTGGGGCACGTGGGCACTGGGACATTGGCAGGGTGGCACAGGGACAACATGGGGATGGGGCCACAGAGATGGGGGCCACAGGGCAGGGGGAGTTGTGGGCAGGGTGCTGAGTGCGGGATGCAGGGTGGGATACAGGGGTGACACCTGCCAGGGTGGGATGCAGGGAGGGATGTGGGGCAGGATGTGGAGCAGGATGGTGGGGCACTACCTGGCAGGGCTGGATGCAGGGTTGGACGCTGGGCGGGATGCAGGGCGGGATGCAGGGATGGTACCAGACAGGGAAGGATGCGGGGTGCGATGTGGGGTGGGATGCAGTACCTGGTGGGGTAGGATGCAGGGCAGGATGTGGGGTGGGATGAAGGGTTGGATGCAGGGTAGGATGTGGGGTGGGATGGGGGGTGGGATACAGGGTGGGATGCAGGGCAGGATGCGGGGCCAGTACCTGGCGGGGCGGGTGAGGCTCCTGGTAGCTGGGCAGGATCTTGAGGACGACGCTGCCGCTGGCGTGGCGCAGGCTGTCCTGCAGTGCCCGCGGGTCGCTGCCCACCTCGCGCCCGTTCACCTCACGGATCACGTCCCCCACGTGCAGCAGCCCCTGCTGCGCCACCATCCCCCCGTGCAGGATGCGGGCGATCACCAGCTCCCCCCCGCTCCACCCGGAATGTCACCCCCTGACGGGCACAGCCCCACTCAGCCCCCAACAGGGACCCACCACAGCACCCTGTGACACCCACCCAGCACCCACCGGTCACCCTGCAAGGCACCCAGCACTCTGAAATACCCCCAGCACCCCATAATGTCCACGGCACCCCATAATATCCCCAGCACTCCAAAATGCTCCCAGTCACCCCAGCAATATCCTCAGCATCCTGAAATGCCCCCAAGAACTCCAAAATGTCCCCAGCACCCCAAAGTGACCCTCAGCACTCTGCAATGCCCCCAGCACTCCAGCAATGTCCCCAGCACCCCACAACACCTCCAAGAACCCCAAAATGTCCCCAAGCACCCCAAAATGACCCTCAGCACTCTGCAATGCCCCCAGCATCCCAGCAACGTCCCCAATACCCCACAATGTCCCCAGCGCCTCAAAATGCCCCCAATATCCCCGCACCCTGCATTGCCCCAACACCCCACAGCACCCCCCAGTACCCCAGCACCCCATAGCACCCTCAGCACGCCAAAATGTCCTAGCACCCCACAATGGCCCCAGGACTCCCCAGGCCCCCCAGCTAGGCTCACCAGGTTCTCCCCGGCTGCCTTGCGGATGCCCACCATGCGCACGGCGTCGGGGGGGCACGGGCTGGGATCCCAGGGGGGGCTCTGGGCCAGGGCTGCTTGGGGGGGGGTCATAGCTCTTAGCAGCCACTGAGTCATGGGTCTCCAGCAGCGACTGGGACACACAGGAGAGGCGTCACAGCTGTGTCCCACACATCTGGCACACGTGTGTCACACACCCCAGCACACACGTGTCACACACCCCCGGCACTCAGAGTGTCCCACATCCCTGGCACAGGAGGGGTCCCACGTGTGTCCCACACACCTGACACATGTATGTGTCACACACATGTGTCACACCCCCCTGGCACAGGAGGGGGGTCACACCTGTGCCACACCCCCGGGCACACACGTGTCACACCCCCCCAGCATTCAGAGCATTCCACACCTCTGGTACGGGGGGTGGGGGGGTCACACCTGTGTACTACACACCTGGTGCAGGTTGTGTCACACTCCCCCAGCACACACATTTGTCACACGCTCCCCAGCACACACATTTGTCACACGCTCCCCAGCACACACA